GAAAAAAGTGTTATGTTAAAATTGAAAGCTGTCGAATTTTTTGCTATTCAAGTGGATGAAAGCACTGATTCAAGTGGAAAATCACAGCTACTTGCTTTTATTCGGTTTATTGAAAATGATGCCATTGTCGAAGAATTTTTATGTTGCAGGGAATTGCCAGAAACAACAAAAGGACAAGATATATATGATGCACTTACCTCATACTTGAATCGCTGGGACATGACATGGGAAAAGTGTGTTGGAATATGCACAGATGGCTGTCCCTCAATGACTGCAAGTGTAAAAGGTTTTGTTACACTGGTAAAGCGATCTCAGCCAAATATTTCAACAACTCACTGCTTTCTTCATCGTGAAGCCCTTGTTACCAAAGCCATTGGCCCAGAGCTAAAAGATGTACTTGATATGGTGGTCAAGATAGTCAATTACTTAAAATCAAGGCCAGTGAAATGTCGGCAGTTCACCAAACTTTGTGAAAGCATGGATGCTGAACATGTCAATCTTCTACTTCATACTGAAGTCCGATGGCTCTCTCGAGGACGAGTGTTGTCTCGGTTTTATGAACTCAGAGAAGAACTGCTGAATTTCTTTACAAACAACAAGTTTGAATTTGTCGAATTTCTGAACGACGAAAGTTAGTGTTCAAAGTTGGCCTACCTATCTGACATCTTTCAGCACCTGACTAATTTGAATACGAGTATGCAAGGAGTAAAAGAGAATATTCTGACTTCAGTGGATAAAATTAATGCATTCAAACGGAAACTGATTATTTGGAAGAAGCATGCTTCGCGAGGCAACTGTGAAATGTTTTCCACTTTAGCTCAAAGAAGAAATTTAGTTAGCATTTTGCCACTGATAACCAACCATTTGGAATCTTTAACTAAAGGATTAGATAAATATTTTCCATCTATATCCCTTGAAGAATATGATTGGATTAGAAATACATTTGTTGAATCTCTGAATGTGAATTTCAGTTTGACGGATGAAGAAGAGTTGGCAGGAATTTCAAATGACCGGGCACTTAGAATGAAGCACAATGAACTTAATCTGGACTCATTTTGTACTTTAACTGCAAAAGAATACCCATCGATCTCAAATAAGGCTCTGCGTGTTCTTCTGCAGTTTTCAACATCATACTTGTGCGAATTAGGATTCTCAACCATGACGACTATCAAAAGTAAGAAAAGAGAAAAATTACTAACACTTGAAGAAGAACTGCGTGCATGTCTTTCCAAAACTAGGCCAAACTTTCCAGTTCTGCTCAGAAATCATCAAGCACAAATATCACATTAATTTGTATACTTTTTACATAAACAATAAATTTTGAAAATATTGCGACTTTTTTGTAAATAAATGCATGTAAATTCTTTGTAAACCTTGTAATTTATTTATTAAAACTTTCCTTATATACATAGGGATCCGCAAGAAAATTTGAGCCTCTCAGGGGATCCGCGCTTCCAAAAAGGTTGAAAACCACTGGTGTAGACAATCATACGTGCGTTCCACGTGATCCGGCGCATACACTTCAACGACTCGACGCGTCAATACAAACAGGAAAACTCTTCTTCTTCTCTTATCCTTCGACTCTCCTTCTCAACTTGACAGCTTTTCCACACGCTTTGAGGCAACTCAGCTAGTATAGTGAAACCAACCCATTATAGAAATTTTCATCTGATATATTACCTCCGGATCGAATGTGATTGTCGCTATACATCAC